TGATGCTGCTGAGGTTGCAGTGAACTTGCCACACTCAAAATACGTACTGCGGTAACACTGGAAATGGAGTCCTCAGGGAAACAAACATGGCAGTATATGTGAACAGTCATGACAATATTCACCCACCCATTCAGCAACCCTCCTTATCAATAACATCAGGAACCCAGTCCTGGGGTTTATCCTAAGGTAAGGAGTGTAAATAAGTAAAAGCTTTTGGACAGAAGTGGCTCAAAGTAATGAAAATTCAAAACAAGGAATAGTGGTGTAATTTTGTATTGCCAAGAGTTTAGCTTAGGGAATGGCACATAGTAAATGCTTAAAAATATTAATTAAGGGCAGGCCAAGTGGCGGGTTGATGAAAAGTTGGCATGGGACACCAGCTCTGAGGAGCAGGGCTCCGGTTCGGATCCCACGTGAGGGTCAGTGATGCTGAAACCTCTACAGCTAAGATGATGAACAGCACCTTGACCTGGACCTGGGCTGCTGTGAGTCACTGCCAACAGCGTAGGCTGCAGTGGGGCTGGCCGGCAGCTAACATGAGCTTTTGTGAGCTGCCATGAGCTGCCGTGAGCGGCCGTCCAATGGCTGGCGAGTAACTGCCTCACCCGGGAACAGCGCAATGATGATACCAACATGGGCCAGTGAAGCAACGTCCTCCACAACTAGACTGAAGAACAAAATGACAGCACCTTGTCTGTTCCCCTTCCCCGATTCCCCAATGCTGTTCCCCTCCCCACAATTCCCCAATAAAATCTTTAAAAATATATATATTAATTAAGATACATAGATTGAATATCAATTTAATGGTAGTATTATATAATGGTTTAAACTCAATTAGAGAAACCTATAGCTATATGGGAAAAAATCACAAATAGGTCAAGCAACAAAAAAGGATAAAAATAAATTTTATGCTATAATTGCTCTATAAATTAGTTTTAAAATTATGTACAAAAAACATTAAGAAGAAATGACTTTGAAATTAAACATGTAGTGAACTGGCAGTTAAGAAATGGAGAAAAAATAGTTCATCTTTTATAAAATAACTGTATTCAATGGTTCTTTTGTTTCATAAAAACATGTATAGTACAGAAAATTCAGTTTATTATACATAATAATATATTTACATATTACTATATATTATATCTAATATACATATATTACTGAATCAACTGTGTTTACATATACTATTAAAATAAACACCTACTACGTGATTCAATCCAATGTTAAATTGCGTTCAGTGTCCACTCAGAATCATGTCAGTGGTTCCTTTTTTCCACTGTTATAGCTTGAAGATAATCTCACCGCTGAGAAATTAATAGAGTGGACGAGCTCACAGAATATGAGAAACACACATGTGGATTTGCACTTACCTCGGTTCAAAGTGGAAGCGAGCTATGACCTCGTGGCCACAATGGAAGCCCTGGGGATGAGGGACGCCTTCAGTCCACAGGACGCCGACTTCTCAGGCATGACAGGAAGACGGGATCTCGTGCTGTCTAAAATAGTACACAAGTCCTTTGTGGAGGTGACAGAGGAGGGCACCGAGGCCGCAGCCGCTACTGGTGAAGAAGTAATTGCATATTCAGGACCAACTTATGGAAACTTCCGTTGTGATCATCCTTTCCTGTTCTTCATCAAGCACAATAAGACCAACAGCATCCTGTTTCTTGGCAGAGTCTCTTCCCCTTAGATGTCATTAGCTGCCACCACTTCAGGGCGACGTTCACTGAGTTATTCCAGTACATTGACTGCTGGAAATAACACGTTCTTTTTCATGCATTTTCCTTTCCAATCTCATAGTCTTCCCCCAAAATGTAATGACTGAAAGAGCATGTCTGTCTATCTCTCTCTTTCTATACTCTCATGTGAATGTACTCTCTCTTCTCCTAAATTTAAAATACCATATTCACTATTTCAAAAATCATATCTAGTATGCAAACTTATTAACCTAGATGCCTACATTTATTTGAATTTTGGTGATATCTCAGACTTCTGATATGTCTAAATGTTTGGATTTTATGAAAGACACTATCAATAAAACACTGACTTATTCATATCACTTGTTGCTTTTCTTTTAAACAAACTACATGTGACCTACTACACATAGGAAAGACAATTTAGAAATGAGTTATCATAGAAAAATAAAAAACCAAAATAGGAGTAGGGCATGACAAGGCTAAAAAGGTAGGTTGGTACAGGAATAGGAAAGGCTTGTAACCCACTTTCTATTTTATTCTAAAATAAATGGAAAGCTTTTTCAGGTTTTTTGTGTGTGTTTTCCAAAGAGGAGAATGAGATCATCTTTCTGCATCTTTCATCTATATCTCTGGCTACTATGATGTACGTGGATGGCAGGTGGATGACTGTGTGGGTACAGTAAAATTAGTTAGTAAGCCACTAGACTAACAGGGGAGGTACTGAAAGGAACAGACATGTGTGACAATTATGTAGGACATAAAATCCACAGAATTCCAGCAACCCATTAGATAGGGCAAAAATGAGACCTAGAAGCCACGAATGATGCCTAGGTTTCTGGCCTAGCCAACCTCTTGAATGGAAGAAGATTTCATTTTGGAGAGAAGAGAAGGTTCTGGATTTAGGCTTGCACTTGTTGAATTTTAACTCCTTTTGAGAAGTCCAAATGGAGTTGTCTAGGAAGCATTTGATATATGAATCTATCAGATGTAGGACATCATATGAAGCGCTAAATTTGAGATACTCAATAAAAATTTAGAGTTACCATTTTAGAGTTACTGAATAAATATGGTTACTTTAAAGCCTGATTTTTAAAAAAATAGCGAAAAGCAAGAATGAATCCCAGGAAGAGAGTATAAAGTGATAGGCCCAGCACTGACTTTGAAGTACATCAATATATAAATAACAGTTTTTACCTTCCAGAACATAGCTTTCCTCATGGATTCCAAATATCTTCCAGTCAGGACTGAATTGCAGCTGATTTTATAAAGCATGCAGTTTGGAGGATTTGAGCATGGTCTAAAATTTTTCATCAGAATCCAGCAGCCCAAGAACAGAGCAGAGATATATGTTTTCACTATGTAAGTGTGAGACTTGGTCAAAGAAACTGACAGACTGATGAGGAGCAGGGTGACCTGAATAAGCCATGCAGTGAACAGGCTGGGAAGGGAAGGCGAGACACTTGATGAACAGAGACACATTGGGATGCTTGAGGCTGAAGAAATGAATGATGGGAATGAGTTTGTGAGAAATGTGAAAAGATCAGAAGTTCGGGCCAGGACCTGGGGTGTTAAAGTACATTTTAAAATACAAAATTTTAGGTAAAAAAATCTAATAATCTCAGACTACGGCCATAAGTGTGAATTAATTTCTAATGATTTAGTGAAGTTGAAACTGCTATAGGGTTTTGGGATGTTGGAAGAATTGATTGTTAGAATTCCTTTAGACCATAACTTTCAAAAGCTTGTAATTTTAGTTGGGTTTTCTATAAAGGAACATTATGAAAGCAAACAAATTAAGACAAAGTTTCATAGTCATTTGAATCATATCGAGTGGAACGTATGGTTGACATTGAGTTATGAAAACTGAAAAGCTTTGCCCTCGAGGTCAACCATTGAACCAACTACCCCTGAATTGCAGCCACATGTAAGGGAAATTGTTGGGAAACACAAATCTTGCTTCTTATTTTTAAAGTAATAGATTATAATTCATTGAACAAGACAGAACACAATGAGTCCATATTGATATATAATGAAAAAAGAATAAATGAAAAGTTTTGTAAGGAATGGGTACATAGGTGCTTTCAAAGTTCTCCCTGTAGAATACCACTTCACATCTATTAAAGTGGCCAAAATTAAAAAGAAAGAGACTGGCCATATGGAGGGCGGGAGAGAATTTGGAATAGCTAGAAATCTCATACATTACTGGTGAGAATACAAAAGGGTGCATGTTTTAGGAAGACTTTGGTAATTTCTAGTAAAGTTAAACGTTTACTCACCATGTGATCATGCAATTCCCCTCCTGGATATTTACCCAAGAGAAATGAAAACATATGTCCACAAAAGACTTGTGTACAAAAGTCCATTGCATCTTTATTCACGATGGCCAAACACCGGAAATAATTCAAACTGCCGTCCGTGGGTGAATGGATAAACGCACATGGAATTGCACTCAGCAATTAAAAGGAAGGAACTACTGATTCCTAGAGCAACATGGGTGATCCTCTCAAACACCAATCTGTGTAAAAGAAGCTGGACACAAAGAACACATGTCACGTAATTCCAATATATGAAGTCCAGCCTGTGGTGACAGAGAACTGATTAGTGCTTTTCTGGGGCTGAAGTGTATTATCTCACTCTGTGTGTAGTGTAATGTAGGACATTTAACAAACAATTATTTTGCACCTACTATGTGCCATGTTGGATCAGACAATGGGTTCTCAGGTAGAGGGTGACAAAAATAAA